GAAGTTGTTCCCTTCAGCTGCAGCAGAAGGCTAATGCCGTGACAGAGTGTGTTGTTTTGTAAGTGGTGACTTCAGTGTGCTGCTTTTCCATCACGAGGACAACTGAACCAGTCTGTGCAGTATTGCAGGGATATCCTGGCTGCCACTCTATGTGTCAGTTTTAGAAAGACCCCCCAAGGCTTTGCTCTGGAGAGAACCTCACAATCGGTATGTTTTTAGTGCTTGACTTTTGATAAGTCTTAGAGCTTGGTGCAAACCTCCTGTGTATGGTTTCTGGGTTGCAGTAAGTGGCATTTCCTTATTGGGAGGAAAAAGAATACTGTCATTTAAAACATGCAGCTGTCAAGATAAAATTATTGCGGCATCTTTGTTTGCTGATCCTGCAGTTGGATCTTTGCTGAGTGAGTGTTCTCTCCAGGACTCTCTGAGACACAAAGATAATGTTTGAATTCGAGTCAGTTCATTGGGGCTGGAGACCCATGCAAATGTTGAAATCCTCTGTCTGCACACACAAGTTTGCAGCTCCAGAATTACAGGTCTGAGAGCTTCATTGAATTGTCAAAGCACCCAGTATCTGTTGATTTCAATTGGAGTTTACTCCTAATTGTCTCTTTAGAGTCTAGGTATAAATGCCTGAAAACAATAATGAAATCGTATGATCTGTTTCCTCTTGCCAAAAGGTGAAGGGAGGACAGATGCTTTAGGAGTTAAATGAATATTTTAAAATGTTTTTCTTTCCCGTAATAGGAAAGGGGTGAAGTCCGCCTGGTATTGTACTGCTAGCCATTAGCCACCCAAATAAATGTGGAGAAAGAAGAGAATGTTCTTTCCTTCTTTAAAAAAAATGGATTAAAATGTGCAAATGTAGGTATTAGTGGTGGTGTTGTTTATTCCTAATTTTCCAAAAGTAAGATGGAAAGAAACTCTTTTTGCTCTCTTCTCCTTCCTCCCCAGTTCTTTCCCCCTCATAATATGACACTTTCATGCATAGTGAGTTACTTCGTGGCTATTGTGGGTTTTTTTTACACAGCAACAAGAAACACAAAAACATAAATAAAGGAAAATGTGGTTGTGGAACCACAAATCTTTATTGAGTTTGACTAGACTTCAGGTTGGCTTTTTTTAAAGCTTAGAGATTGTCAAATACAAATTGTCCCTGTTCCCCTGTGTAGGGAGTTGAGGCCAGAAATCTATTCCTGTTACGAATCCGCCGTGTGACTGGGTATAAAGAGCCCACCATGTCTCCTCTCTGCCCGGGTTTAGACAGTCCCCACTCTGAAGAGCTTTCCTGTGTGTTTGTGCAGTGCCGTGTTTGAAAGGTTCCCAATTTGCACTGGGGCCCTTAGGTAACAAAAAGAACGTCTTGAGTATTGACATCAACGTGTAGCAGCAAAGCTTTATATTTCAGAGCAAACCTGGTGTTTTTTGCAGTTGAGTGACTTTCTATTAGTTAGCTCAGTTCCTTCAAGCTGTATGTTAAAAAAAAACCAAACCAGAACACACCAAAACCTAACAAAAACCCCAGCTAATTCTCCCTGAGCTGGGCAGCCACCTCTGTGAATATCCCTTGCTCTTCAGAGTCGTGAAACAAACCCTTTCGTGGAGAAGTGGCCCCCAGGACTGAGCAGAAGTGCTCTGGTCTCGGCTGTCCCACAGCTTTAGGTTGTTTGGATCTCAGCAGAAATGGAAGAGGAGAGCTCTGCGTTTGAAGGAAGCCGTGGGCTTGGGAACGCTGATGCTATTCCTGTAACTCTGATAAACAGACTACTATGGATTAAGTGAATTCGGGTAAACTCTGTCCTGAACTACTTCTCTATTGAAATAAGAGACTAAAATGGCTTGAAGCGTCCCGCAAGCTTGCGGTGTTGCGTGGAGTATTTCTGTACGCGAGGCTGCCTGAAATGGGAATTTGACAAGTCCTGCATGTGGATGCTCGTGCTTCAGCCCTGCCTGAGCCCTTGCCTGTAGGATTGGAAGAATCCACAAGGATCTCGCTACAGGGATGGCAGCGGTAGCATTTGAAGAGAGGTTTGCGCAGGGCTTCGGGTCTCAGTAATTGCTGTACAGGGTGTGCGGTGTATGTGGGATCCTCGGTGCGGCCCTGCCTGGGGCTGCCTTGCTTCTGCCAGACGCTGGCTTTGGAGTTTGCTCCAATTCAAAAAACAAAACAGGCTTGAAAGGAAGCTTGTCCTTAAGGTCTGCTTTCTAGGCGGAAGTGATTAATGGCCTATTGGGGGAGTGAGGGATGAGAAGGGAGTCCTGTATCGTGGTGACTGTGGGCTCCTGTTTTGAAGACTTATGCTATTCATACCCTTAATCAGAGAGACCAAATGGGGAGCTGACTGCCCTGCGTTCCATCTGCATCTCCTTACTAGAGATCACCAGACTAAAGTGTTATGATAGATAACACGGACCATTTGTGTCCCGTCTTTTGGATCATCATCAACACGAGAGAATCCATCATAGCACTGATTCAGAGCTGTGTCACCTTACACTGAAACTACTGAACTGGAACAAAGAAGCAGCCTGGGTGTTTTACCAAATCCTGTAGCCAGGATTCCAGAATTAGCAGAGTTCAGTGGTTCTGATTTTAGATTAAGCAAATAAAGCACAGGTTGAAAACTGAAGCACTGCCCAGGCTGGTTTCTGAAATGGTGATTCTTTTAAAATTTCTCATTTGATGGTCTCCTTTGGAAGCCACCAGCAATGTCTACTTCTTCTGTAAAGACAAAACACTTTCTGAGAGATCATGGTCCTGTGTAAATGAGGGAGGTTTGTTAAGGAAGCTGATGCAAACGCAGAGTTTTCTTAATGTTTGCTGCTTTAAATTGGAACTCTCTAGCTTGAAGCAGCAGTCCTAAAAAATATGGCTTAAAGTGTGCTGCTGAAAGATGACATTTGTAATTGGTTTGTGGAGTCAGAAGCTGGCTCACTGGGGGCTTGTTGCGAAGAGTGCTTCAAGGCAGTAGCTAATTACTCCCAGTAGTACTGAACCACTGGTTGGTTTTGAACCTGCTCTTCTCATCTGCACGAATCCGAAGGAAGTGGCTGTGGTGTAGTGAACAGCACCGTTGTTCCCAGTTCCTGAGTGGGATTTGGAGAGGCGTTCTAGAGCGTGGGCAGCTGCGCAGGCTACTTTGTCCAGGAGCTACAGGAGAACTGGAGGCTCACTTTGCCTCCAGCGGACCTGATAACAGATCTTGCTGACTTAAAATGTGATTGCTTTACTTTCTAACAGAACGAGTGAGCACGGAATTGTTTGAAGAATTCAGAATATCTTTTTGTAGCTATAAATATATATATGTGGTTATGACTGGCTAATTCAATGAATACGCGGTTGTTAAGTGGGGACCATGTTGGTTACTGTGCTAGTTAGAAGAACAGAAACATCTGAAGTAACTTCAGTTGCTGCTGAATTGGCAGCTTGGAACGAAGTCTAATGAAATGAGAGCATTTCTGTTTTCTTAGTAGTTGTGCCATTTATATTTGGCTATGACCAATCTTAAACTGTTGAAACAAATACTGATTCTGAGATACTGAGTCACAGTAAGTGTCTTCAGAATTGAAAACCTTATGCAAACCCTTATGCTAGTAAAACAAGTTCATAGAATAGAATCGTAGAATATCTCAAGTTGGAAAGGACCCATAAGGATCATCAAGTCCAACTCTGTGCTCCTTGCAGGTGTCGTCTTGTCTGCTTCTCCCCTTATTCTCCCAGAGGGTAAGTCTCTGGAAGATTACACAGTCTGGCCTTGAGCTGAATTTTAAATTTAACCACCAATAATTTTAGTTTACATTTTTACAGTAGACATCTCGAATCACTAGAAGTGATAAAGTGGAGTTTTTAGAGGCCATACTATCTGTTCCAGGTTTGTTCACATTTAGTTTTTATTAGCCACATATTAAAACCTCACAAATGGTCATTGGCTAATATGTCTGTAGACGTTATCTATGTTTCCTCTTTTTATATAACTCTACAACCTTAATTAATATCTCCTGTTTTAGAGATGGCTCATAAAATTATATTTCTTCCTTTTTACTTCTGTGGCCCTCACTGTTGTTGCACGAGTCCAGCAGCTCTTTGCCTGTTGCATCATTAAATCTGTCTTCTTCTGTCATTTTAATTTTGCTGTAATTCAGTTTAATAATAACAACAGGTAGAAGTGCTGATTTTATTCTCCTTAATGCTAAGGGTTGGAGTTCTGGATTAAGCTTTTTATCAAGAGGCCTTCAGAACGGCTCCTAGCTGAAGGCTGTATTGGCATTGCATCTGTTGAAGAAGGAAAGGGCTCAGGGAGGGAACTCGGCACCGCAGTGGCATGTCTGTGTTTGACCGCGTTGGCTCTTCCCCTGACCGGGGCCAGGCCTCAGCCTTGCTGCCCGTTCTGAAACCATCCTGGAGTGAAAAGAGGGAGCGAGAGAGGTGTGTGGCTGGCAAGAGTGGGAAGAGAGCTTGATTTAATGAAGAAGGTTGAGGTGCTTGTCTGATGTACAGGGGACGAGGGTTCAATATGAAGCTTGACCGCAGCTCCTTCAGTGCCCTGGGGGGAAAGCGCTGTGTTTTGGCTCCAAATCCAGTCTAGGAAATTCAGGTAATAGTCTTTTCTTTGCCAACAGAGTGGCCTTAACTTGTGATCTGTGATCTCTCATGCAGAGACTGCACAGCACAGTGGGATTTTAATCACCGTCAGATCTTTAGAAATTGTGGTGAGATGGAAGACTCCAAAGTGGGAAAAATGCTTGTAATTACTTTTATGCCTACCACTTTGGGGTGGCTGTTTGGAAAGGTACCATTCTACCCTTTATTTTTACTTGCTTCCTTTGTTTTAATAGTCGCATATTCTTTAAACACAGAAGACTTGCTGACGCCCACATTTTAGTAAAAATCAGTATTTTTCCCGGACCATTTAAGAAAATCACTGTATCTTCTGATCTGATGTAATTTCAAACCCTTGATTTTCTTCCTATTGTTTGTGTTTGTTTTTTTTTCCAGGGTGGTAAAGGAAGAGATCTCGGACGACAATGCAAAGCTACCTTGCTTCAATGGAAGAGTGGTGTCCTGGGTATGTTGGCTCGCGTGTCTGCATGCGTATGTGGTTCAACACAGTGGGCACGGTAGCAGGGTAGTTGGTCCATGGATCCTGATTTTTAGGAGCATCTTCAATCTCAAATTGCATGGAAGCAAAGGCTTAGTTTTTCATTATATCTGTAACATCCCATTGTTAAGTAATTTATTATATAAAAATAAAAGTCCGCAAAGGTGTGCAGGGCTGAAAAGATGGCTTAAAGAAGAAACCTTCAATATTAGTAATATGTTGTGTCATCTTTTCTTTCCTGCTGTTTCCTCTCTCCCTCATCTCCTAAGTATTACTGAATCTGATGGAAGGCTCTGAAATAATGCTGTAAAACCTCAAAAAATAAGGCTAGACTTTAAAAACATTTGCTTGCTTACCTTTTGTTGAAACCAGTAAGAGCCAAGCTGTAATCCTTGTTTAAAAATAAATAAAATAAAAATTGTCCCACAACATACGGTTAAATGTAACAGCCAGCTTGCTGTCGGTAGGAGAGCGGAAGCGTGTTTTTATCTGTGTTACACAGTTAGTAGTTAGAGTTCTGCCAAATCATTGGGTTTTAATACTGTCACTAAATAGCCAAAACGGCTTCTTCAGAACAGCTAAACGTGATATTGTAGGGGATTTTGGTTATGTTATTTTAATTTCAATGTGTGAGTATTGTGGTAGTGCCTGGAAGGTTTAAATGAGGTTTAGATTTCTGAGCTAAACATTGTGCATGCATTCAGTAAAAAGACACAAAAATTTATAGCCTTGGAAAAATAAGCAGGGCAGAAGAATTTGGATTGTAAGTAATTTGTCCAGTTACAGAGGAAGTCAGTGATCCAACCGTTCATCCCAGTTACCGTGCTGCTCAGCAGATCACACCCCCCTCATTCTTTCTCTTGTCTGTTTTTAATGTGTTAATTTCTCCAATATGCCATGATATTTGTTTGTCACCTAACTATAGTTATTAATTACTTTCTCCTAAGCGTTACACAGCCCTTTGGGTTGCTTCCCATTTAATGAACAGATGACCTGCACTCCGTGCTGAGCTGAGCGCTGAGCAGCAGCACACAGTCTGTGCTTTTACTGTAATAGCTGGTTGCTTCTCCACACGCCTAGTTCCTTACCCACATTATGATCTACTTAATGGAGATGCAACAAAAGTCTGTTGCTCCCTAGGGTTACTGTGTGAAATACAGTAACTCCCACTCTCAGATTGCCTTTGGGGCACAGATAAACACACGGATAAATTTGGTGTTTGGCCACTTCGTGAACATATTTGTGGATAGGAGGTTTACAGCTGTTAAAGTGGATTAAAGTGGTTGTGCACCTTTAGGCAGCGAAGAGGGCACTAGGATTTTAGACTTTAACACCAAAAAAGCATTTGGGACATAGTCTGTGATTTTAGTATCCTCTTTCAAGCTGACCTTACAACCTTGGGTATTGGGAACGCAACAGGGGGCAAGAAGAAATGTCTGTTTTCCCAAAACTCAAGTTTGACCCAAGTATGAAGGGATGCATTGCTAAGTTTGGCTGCAGCAAGTGATGGGAGTAGGGTTAGAAATCATAGCGCTATGATACGGGAACTCTGCCGAAGTAACTAGAGACATTGACCAGCCTTTCAGCATTGGATATATGTTTGCAGTCTTCCTGTTTCCACTAGGATGAAGATAAGCAAGAAGGTGGTAGTAGTTAAGTATGTTTACAAGACTTTTTTCTGACTGCACAGTTAGGACAGCTGGGGCTACTTGGGATTCTTCGCTGGAATGATCTGCCAGGTCTCCATCTGTTTCTCCAGTCCTATGCTGACTTTAGGAGTCGGAAATTTTGCTCACGTGTTTACAACCATTACCCCTAAAATATTTCAGCATCCCAGTCACTGAAGTTATACGTGATAAGGAAAGCTGTCTGCCCTTGCATTTAATTGTGCTGGGTAGCTTAAAGTTTCTAAGCTTGTCTTCTTGTAGACAGGATTATGTGTGCTTTCACTATAAAATCAAATACAGTATTGATTGCATGCTGTTGCCTGCAGTAGAGTGCATTTGCACATTCTATTATTGTTTAAGGAAAGTGCAATGTGTCTTTTAAGCATCAGTTTGACTGGGAGATTGTTCTTAAGTAATAGTGCCTCTGGTTCACCCCATACAGCCCCTGCTGGCTTCTAAGCAGCTGAAAACGTTGCTCGTGTGAGGGCAGGGGCTGGCAGATGAATTGAGCTCAGCTGTATCATACAGTATTATCACTTCTTTCTGCTCTATTGATTGCTTGCAATTTTAAGGCACTCAGACTCTGGCCACTGCGTAGTCCCAACAGGTTCTCGGTATTAGGCAAGCAAAGCACACAGCTTTCTCATGCACGAACTTAATTTTAGTCCTCTTACACACCCAAATGTGTACAGAATATTAAGCACTTACTAGATTTTGTATTAAATTGAGGTCTTAAAAATTGGGAGAATGTTCTCCCTTAAGTCTGTAATTCCTTAAGTTTTGTTACTGGGAAATGCATTCAGAAGGAAAAAGCTAAATTTTTTTTGTAGGACCTCCATACCTTGGGTTTGGCCTTTGTGCTCCAACCTTTTGACTCAGCAGCAATAGCTGACTAATAACCAGTGTGACTTTCAAAGCTGTTCCTAGAACTTAGCCACATATTTCCACCCAGCAGTGGGTGTTAGGCAACTAGATACCTTGGTTTGAAAATCGATGAGTGTTTCAAAGCAAAGTTATGCTGATATAAACCTGCGCTGCTGTGCAGCGCTCAAGGGGAAGAAATGAACACAACGGGGATCTGTCTACTTGCCTGCACAAAGAAGGGAAGATCCCCACGTGTTGTTCTCTGTGGTGTGGACTGAATTGGTTGTCAAAAGAAATATTCACTCTCTAGAATAAAATCACTGGCATTAGAGAATAAAATTAATGTTTAAACAAACAGCCAACCGTGGTCTTTGAGGCCTGATGGTCCACCTAGAGTGCAGTGGGACACAGTGCAATGTTCCTTCTTAATGAGGTGGTTGGCTTATGTCCATTCTTGGGTGGGAACTGGACTTCTGATGGTGGTAACTTCTGCAAGTCATGACTGAACATACGTGCTGAGCGCCACTGGTGTGGGATGAGGTCCTTTTTTCTTTGAGGGGCTGGAGATGGCTGGAGGGCTCAGTGCTGCCGAATGTGCTACTTTCAGGATATGCGTGAGCTATGAATAGTGGTGGTGGTGTTTTTGTCTTCAGTCCAAGGATTACTGTGAGCTATAGCATGGTGTTCTGACAGTATGGGAATAGGTTGTACAAAAGGAGTTTCATGTGTAATTAACAAGCTGAAGAGAGCATCCCGAAAGCTTCAGATAAAAAAGGGCTATGAAGATGTCATTTGTGTTGCCATAGCATGAGAGCAGCATCTGTTTTAAAAGCAAAGGGCTGGAAATGAATAGTAGCTCTTATCAGGAAAGCAAATTAATCCTGAGAACCCCTTTCCTACATCTCAGTATGTAACACTTGCGCTGTATTTGCTCCTCAGTATCATTCCCTCCCTGTTTCTTCCCTTTCTGCCATGCTGCCGAACTGATAAATATTAATTCAAACAACGGGCTGATATTCGGATTGCCTTCTGCATCCCTGAACTGGGTCTCTTCTTCCCAGTGCGCTCAGGAGCACGGTAGTTTTTGTTTTTATCTATGCGGTCTGGTAAAGAATGTATCTTTTGCATTTGTGATTCAGTACACCAGTGATTCATTCTGAACTTGTATAGACTATTCGGGCTCTTATGTGCAGAAAAATATGACTCAGGTTGTTCCAACAAAGGCCAGTGTTCTTGGAGTTTAAACAGAAACAAACCCCCAACCCCAAAGTATTCCACATGAATAAGGATGCGGATTGTTTCATTCCCTTTACACCTCAATTTGTTAACCTCTTCCTCCTTCCCTCTCCCGTCCAAAAACCAAAGTGCATTTGATCTCAAGTTGAGAGCTGAATTCTTTTCCCAGCTTCTTAAATAATATGAAAATATATGCCTTTTCTGTTTGCCAGCTGAAAAACAGGAGAATATAAAGAACAGTAAAATCAGAAGAAGCATATATACACACACACACACACACACACACACGAGTTAAATGTTATGTTTTCATTCTGTGACTTACTGTTTTAATTTCAGAGAAACATTACAATTTCTGAAATGCATTTTAAGAATGAATTCAGCTTACTGTGATTCCTGTTCCAGTGTAGGTTGCTGGCTGCTTTCCAAATGTAGAAGAAAGCAGAATCCTTGCTCCAAGGATTTGTACCTTGTTTCAAATCTTCCCACCCATTCCTATTTTTTATATTACAGTGTTGCTTGAAGGCTGCAACCGAGATCAACGTCTGCGCTCCTTTCTTTCTCCTTGTGCCATGCACTGTACTTGTGCATAGTGGGAGACATGGTTGCTGAGCCAGAGACCTCAATCTTCTATTTTCTTTGCATGTCGCAACTGTTTGCTTTTTCCACAGTATGGGTGGGAACTGAGACACACAAGTTTTTTATGTGGGTTTTTTCTTTCCCTTCAAGGTCATGTAGAAAGTCTTCTGCAAGTGGCAGCAGATACCTCATAGTCTGATTATCTTAAAATCTTCCTTCTTGCCAGTTTTTAAAAATGAGTGTATGGGCAAGTCTAAGTTCAAGGTAACTTTTGAAGTAATGTAACATTTTGGTTTTGTGAACCTTTAATGGGGGTCCTCATGTACGGCAAGTTGACTGTGAGCCAGCGATGGGCCTCGGCAGCAAAGGTGGTGGCCAGCGGCATCCTGGGCGGCGTCAGGGGGGCATTGCCAGCGGTTTGACAGAGGTGATCCTTCCCCTCCAGTCAGCGCTAGTGAGGACACGTCAGGAGTGCAGCGTCCGGTTCTGCTTTGTCTGTAGCTTTTCTGACACTTGCATCATCCTCTTTAATAAGACGACTATGGCAGTTTCTCATCTACCTTTAATAGACAATATAAAGACAAACTTGGTTTTCCCAAGTCACAACACAATCCCTCTTGCATT